GGTGGGCTCTGGAATTCTGGGATGGAAAGGAGATATGGACTCTGGAATTCTGTTTTGGAGGGGTGGTGGGCTCTGGAATTCTGGGATGGAAAGGAGATATGGACTCTGGAATTCTGTTTTGGAGGGGTGGTGGGCTCTGGAATTCCAGGATGGAAAGGGAGCTGGGGTCTGGAATTCCAGGCTAGAATATTAGTGGGCTCTGAAATTCTGGGATGGAAAGGGATGCAGGCTCTGGAATTCCCTGCTGGAGCTGTGTGGATTGTTAGGTGGTGCCACCTCCATCCCTAAGGAATGTGCATCCCTTCCCAGCCTGGAGTCCAGCTGCACTTCGTGGAGATGGGACAGGGCCCCGTGCTCCTGCTGTGCCATGGATTCCCAGAATCCTGGCTCTCCTGGCGCTTCCAGGTGAGGGACAACACCGGGAGAAGGAGACACATGGAAGCACAGTGGGCTGGGAGACAAAGCTACCACTTCCAGGGACATCCTATGGGGCTGATCATGAGCTAGGAGGGCTCTGAATCCTTGGAATCTGTTATATTCCATGCTAGATTCCAGCTTTGGCTAATGCAGGATTCCGGGTGATTGCTCTGGAGATGAAGGGATATGGGGAATCCACGGCTCCTCCAGGTGAGTTGGGAATGCCATGGGATAGGATGGGATGGGATAGGGTGGGATTGGAAGTGCCAACTCTTAGGCGAATTCCACCAGGAGAGTTGGAAATGACATGAGATAGGATGGGATTGAGGTTGAAACTGACAATTCCAAGGCCAATTCCAACAGGCGAGCTGGGAATGCCATGGGATGGGATGGGATGGGATGGGATGGGATGGGAAGAGGGATGGGATGAGATGGGGTTGGAACTGCCAATTCCAAGGCCAGTTCCCAGGAGGAGAAGGGTGGAGGAATCTTCTCCAGGGAGGTGGAAGTTATCCCACTCCTGGGCTGGATGTGGGATACATCCTTGGGAATGAGTGGATGCTCCAAGGATGGAATTCCGTCTTCCCTGCAGACATCCAGGAGTATTCCCAGGAGCAGATCTGCAAGGTGAGGAGCTGCAGGGGATGGATGTGGCTTGGAGAGGGAAAATTCATTGGGATCTGAACCTTTCCCTCCTCTTTTCCTCAGGATCTGACGGTTTTCCTGGATAAACTGGTGAGGAGATCCCTCAGGATGGGTTTATCCTCCTTGAAAAGGTTTGGGATGTCTCCCAAGGTGTCCTTGACCTCTTCCATCCCATCCTGAGATTCCCAAGGACTTGGAGCCCTTGGGATAGTCCCAAGTCTCTCCCTTTTGGAATTTAGGGATGAAGATGTCCATAGAATCCATATCCCATGGGATGGATCCATCCTCGGAGGGGCTGTGGGACCTTATTGTGGAATTTATGGCCCTGCTGGGAATAAGGAGGGGAAAAACATGCAAAAAAGAGTGGGAAAGGGAGAGAAAAAGAGGGGGAAAGAGGGAAAATAGGAGGGAAAAGAGAGGAAAAGGAGGAAAAAGTAGGGAAATCTGGGAGAAGGGGAAAAAAGAGTGGGAAAAAGAGGAAAAAGAGAGGAAAATGAGGAAAAAGGGAGGAAAGGGGACAAAAAGGGAGGAAAAGAGGAGGAAAGGGGGAAGAAAAGCTTGAAAAGGAGGGAAAAGGGGGGGAAAGGGAGGAAAACCAGGAAAAAACAGAAAGGGGGAAAAAGGAGGAAAACCAAATAAAGAAAAAATAAAATTATGGGAAATGAAGGAAAAGGAGGGAAAAAGCAGGGAAGAAAAGGAATAAAAAGAGGAAAGTAGAGAGGGAAAAGGAGAAAGATGGGAAAAAGGAAAGAGGAAAAGGAAAGAAAAGGGGGACAAAGGGAAA